GACATGACTCCTCGCAGCTAACACCACCAAGCCCATTCCCACTTGTCATTAGTATCCCGTGACACTGCCCTGCCTCCGGCCTTCAGTGCTCTGGTTTTCTGGGTTTATTGTTCTGACTGGTTCGGATGAGTTACTGTAAACATGACATCAACCACTTTTTATATATATCTCAAGTGACAGGTGAGTATTTCATGCCCTTTATTTCAACGAAGTCTCGTACAATCTGTCACAACAATGCTTTCGTAAATGTTAAATTGGTGACAGACACATAGAAGCCAACTCACTTTAACCACACTTTTCAAACCAGGCTAGTTAAAGCCTGTCGGAGTGATAGCATTTTGTAAACATACCACTTAACATTTAATCATTCAACTATCCATCAGTAAGGCAGAACCATCAGCTGCTTTGCAATGGGAACTATAGGAAATCACTACAGAATGACTTCATCCATATGGGACAGAAACAATTTATAATTTGACTGTGGCCTCCTAAACATTTTCTGACACTGATAAAAAGGCAGGCTGCTGTATAATTACTCACTGCAAGGACTTCTGTGTCCTACTTTGATACATAGACTGTAGGACAGTGTAAGGACAGGGCACTAGGTTAGATGGATTAACTGTGCTTTCCTACTATGAAGGAATTCAAATACTTGGCATGTTTCAAATCTTGTGGGTTGGTCTCATCAGTTTTTTGTTGCTTTTATGTTTTCATTTACGTGTTTACTCCTTGTTTTATACACTTCAATAGCTCAGAGAAGGAGTGAACCTCAAGGAACACACACTCCGCAAAAGTCAGCAGAGAGCCCATCCCATTTCACATCACAGGAAAAAATTCTGACTGCTTTGGCCCCATCTCCAGAAGAAAGTTCAAGTTCCAGCTCTCTGACAGATGTTAGTATTCCATTCACATTTCATGTTCAAACCTGCACGCTGAAAATTCGCTTCAGCTTTGCCACAGGCATCAGTAGCCAGATAGAGTGGACTCAAATGTGCCACCATCTCCGGATCACAGAACTGTCTGCCCCATGTGCCGCACACTGATGCAGCACAACATTTTTGATTCACACTTTATTGGTCCTTTACCCACAATGCTTATTCTTGTGGTTGCAATTAATGAGCAGCAGGAATCTTTCTGTGCATCCAGAAGTCATTTTTCCAACCTGGCTTCCTAAGGAAGCTGACATTTTGACACCTAAACATGCTTGTTTATGTGCATGCCATCATAACTTCTGTGTCCTCTGGTCAATTCTGAATAGATTTTACAAACTGAAAGAAATTTGCAATAAGTTGTACAGAAAGGAAGAGTCAGGTAGAGGAAACCAGATATATAAATGTCTCTAGTGAGGAAAGGATTGCAGCCTGAACTCAAATTTCATTAGACATTATAAAATCTATCTCATAGACAGCAAGCATGAATGTCCCAAGAATGGGAAATGCTTCGTTCAGAACATGTACTTATTAGAGTTTGTTTAATTACAATGTGAGACAGAAACCATCATCAATAGTGATGCTGTTCCCTCAGCTACTACTACGTTTACCTGTCAGTGAAAACCTTCTTATAAAGTCTATAGCACCACAGACTTCATGTGAAGAACTGACTGTTTTAAAATGCTTATTGTAAATATTTTATATCGCTCTCAACCTGATGACACAGTGACAAGGAATGCTAGGCATTCAGGATACCCTGGAGGGGTGAAAATAAATGATAGCTCTCACCCCAGTGCTGCCCTTTGAAGGGACCCTAGTTAGCCAGATAATGCTATGGGACAACTGTGGTTAAATCCCAAGAGAGCTTTTGGAGTGTCATCCACAGGAGCCTTGCTGAGAGCAGAGGTAATTAGTTCCAGCTGAGCACACAGGCACATCACTTTAGAAAGGTCTGGCTGCTTTTGCGCTAGGAGAAAAGGCATTTCTGTCTAGCAGCCAGGACAATGCACTGTGGAAACAGGAAAATGGCCTTCCTCATTTGTTTGAGGTCCAGCTAGGTGTGTGTTTTGGAGCTGCAGGATGGAATTGCATTCACTGCCTGTGAAAATTACAGTGGACAAGTGGAAAGTTCCCATAAAATACTATGCAGAAGTTTCTCTGATTCACAGGGGAGTCCTCCAAGATCTCTGTTCAGCAGCCTGAGACATGGCCTCCCTACAGGTGTTCACAGTGTGCTAGAGAGTTCCCAGGGACATATGTTAAGCTCTCTCTTGGGAAGCCTTCTTAAAACATCTAATCTAAACACTGCCATTGCTGCACTTTTATGTATATCTTTGTGTGGTCTGGCACCTGATAAAAAGTCCATTATTTTCAGGGAGTGAGTGTCACCTGGTGATACCACAGCTTCCCTGAAGGAGGTACATTTGCAGAGTTCATCCTTAGGTTACACGTGGGCTAGTCTTCCTGTTTGATGGGGCTTTTTCCCCAGAAACCCTTGGAAAGAAGTCTGAAAACCTCCACTCTTGTGCATCTCATTTGGATGCCTTTCCACTACAGAAGGTACTAGATAGAGCCCAGCTGTTCTTGGAGAGTGACGGCTCAGCAGCTGAACTCCTGTTGTGTGCAGAACAGTAAAAGTGTGAAATGAATGCCAAGTATTGATGGAGTAGCTACAGGTTCATTGTTAGAAGGACCACTAGTGACTACTAAATGCCATCAGACGGTTAAGGACAGCCAGTTACAGTTTAATGGCTCCTCTCAAGGTCCTGGGAAACTAACTCATAAAAAGCATCAGGGGCCCACTACATCGCTTTGTTTTTTAACTAGCCACAGAGGCATTTAACTGAGCATGCCAGAGAGGGGGCTTTCTGATACAAATGGATCTGGCTGAGCAAGACACACTTGCTGCAGCCTCTCTAAGGGAGAGAGAATAATTTTGTCTTCCTGTCTGCTTAGCTGTTGGTGTAGGTTACATCAACACTTTTCCTGCAATCACAGTGGAGTCCTGCAATTTAGTGCAAGCTTCCAAAACAATTTATATATCCATATTCGCTGCATACAGCTTCTCCAATGAGAAGCGCTATTGCTGAGCTGAGATTCAAACCTGTGCTTTCTGGATCAGCATGATCCTCAGTGGAAGGATTCTACCTTTTTTTAATATTTAAATTTAGTGTCTGTTTTTAAGAGATTTACCATGCACTGTGAGAGTTTTGTAATGCAGAGTCAAGCAAGATCATTTCTTGCATACTTTAAGCCCATATTTAGCTATAATTAAGCTGCAAGAGTGGCCCTGTTAATGGCATTGTGGAGAGAGTGTGAGAGTGTGTTTTAAAATAAATCTTTTGGCTCTTACTTATGCCTACTCTGCTGAAGACAATGCTGGAAGAAACACTCAATTCTCTGCTCACAGTTCCATTCATGCAAGTGTACCGCATGAGACGGAAGCAGTACTTCTTTCTAATGCTAATGGAATAGTCCATCAAACCTTGCTTTGCAGCTGGTTTTGGTAGAATATGAAAAAGGATGCTCACTTCTGCAGATTTGATGACATTGACATGCTTCCCTACCACAAACCTTCCCAATATGTTGAGCAGTTTGAATTAAACCTTCACCCATGGCTTCCCAAGCACAAGGAAAGACATCAGTGTACTCACTGAACTGGCTGTCATGTGCCTTAGTGACAGGAACAAAAGCAGCCATGCGTGTAGCACAGACCAAGCGTTTTCAATAGACTTGCCCATGCTAGCACATTATGCCATTGCAGGCCTAACCTGCTGCCTGTGGGCAAGCCAGCATCCACCTCTCTTGGACCTGTGATACTTCTTCAAGGGCACAAATCACTCCCCATCCATCTGCCCTGCCAGCCACCAGAGGGCATGTTATAGCTACACCTCTGACAAGCTGAATAAATCATAGATTACTGAAAAGGCAACCACTGCTTTATTTCCACTTTCTTTCCTTCTTTTCCTCAGCGTGCCTAAAACAGGCCTGACAAGAAAACGACTAGACAATACCCTTGGTTACACAGGGTCAGTTTTACTCTGGGTAAAGCACAAAGGTCTGCAAAACCATGTGCTTTTACACTTGTACTCATTAGAAAGCACAGCCTGAATGCAGGGTCCTTTCCAATCTGGCAATTCTAGGAAGCACTGCTGAGGCTGGAGGCAGTCCCTGCTGAAGACCTCACAACGATAAAGGGTGTTGAGAGCACATGTCAATGCAGTGGATTCAAACGTCCCCCCTGAAATGCTCAGATGGCTCTTAGTGTCAGCATTGGGTGGGCACCTATATCAAAGTTCTCCATTTGGCTCAAGAACTGAAGAAGCTTCTTGGGATGTAAGTCTAAACTCTCTGTGTCAAACAGGGGTTTTTTGTTTCCTCTTCTCATCACTTGCATGCTTATATAAAAATCCCTCAAATTTACATGCTAATTTATTCACCTTACAGGACACCAAAGCCATTTTTCACACACACACACGCACACACACATTTTAGCTAAGACTACCATGGTTTTAACTCATTAGAATGTAACTGCTCTCATTCGCAGTCTAGCTATAGCAGCTGAAAAATGTTCAATGCTTATTTCAAACTACACAGACAGTATCAGATGATGAACAAATAGGGTATAGCTGTGTATGAAAAATGCATCACTTCTGCTCTGAAATTAAGTCTAAAGAAGAGCTTAGAATTCACCTGGTTCTTTTCAAATATACTTTGTGCCTTATAAGACTATTTAATGATGTCTTTATTCCTTCTATCTATAATGTTTTGGAGCATAGTGTGCTGCAGGCCAAAACATTAAACTTATAATATATGTAAACGGGAGTGACATGTTCCAGATAAGGAACATTTTTTGTATTATTTATGTGTAACAGTTAGTAATTCAGTGAGGAAGAATGTTTCCAAAATTATCTCCTTTCTTGAAGTTTTCCAGTTTTAGTCTTTCAAATCAGCCCCATTCATATGGGCTTTTTAGACTAAATAACACAAAATAAAAAGAAGGAAATAAAAGAAGTATCTTGACAAAATAATTAAAAAGCAGTACAGTTTTGCATGGATTTGGACACTTACCTATAAGTAAGATTACTAATGCGTCTGTAATGTAAAAACCAAAGAGAAGAGGCTTGTGCCAGACTTCCACACCAACAGAACCTGTGAGCAGATATGCTGCTATTAATACCTATAGGAAAAAAGATAATGTAGTTTTAATCCTTTACTTCTAAAGACATGGAATTTAGCTTATCATCTTAATACAAGCTGCTATTTTCCTCCTGTCTCCACAATACAGGATCTTATGCTACCATTCCAAAACACATACTTCTAAGCAGTGAAGCAGCTTTCAGGGTCACGGAGTTATTTAAAACATATAAAATGTGGGGAAAGCACATCATTTCCCTGCAATGTGTGCATCTGTCTGCATTTGGTAAATATTACAGATTTACTTTTTCAAAACAAAAATTCTTAAATCCCTTTTTAATGCCAGGTCTCCCCAGTGTACATACACTTTCTTGTATCTGCATACAGACTTCAGAATTGGCAATGTGGTTATTCTTGCAGCTCAGCCCCCTGAACTGATCATATCAGAATAACTGAGAGAGGAAAAAAAAACCCTAAGCTCACCTGAAATAATAATAATAGATTTAATGTGAATAAATAAAAAGAAGGGGAGTGAGCTGAAGCCTTCCATGATATTTGTTTGAAAGATAACATCATTACAGGGCACAAAAAGAAACACGTAGTCAAACATCATTAGGAGTGAAAGGACTCATACATAAGACTCTTGAGTCTCTCTGAAGCACTATCAATTTCAGCAGAGATGTAAATGAAGTTCTTCCTCTCTTTTCAGAGATACTTCTGTGATCCGGCTGAGGTCAGCAATCTTAATGCAATCAAAACTCTACAGCTCCTATGGCAATACATTTCACATTGTATTACCTGTAGCACCTCATACATGGTACAAATTGGAGAAATCTTGCCATTTTAAGTGTGTAACATTCAAATGCAGTGTTGCAGTGGTTCCCCCGCCCTTGTACCCTTAATCCCATGTCCTCAAGGAATGCTGTTCTACCTTGAAACCTGTTTCTTGGCTTAGCCCAGGCCACCCATTTTAATTCAAAGATACAATGAAAATCTTCTTTTTAGATAACCTGCTGCTTAAGATCACAGATTAGTAGCAAACGCTGATGTTGCTTAAACTCCTTATTACATATAGATATTACTATATTTAACTTCACTTGCTTCTCTGTATCTACATTCCAGATTCTTCCCCTATCAGTGTGTAGCTCTTCTAGAGTTTTCCTTGAATTGGCATTGCAGAGTTGGATGTTTGATTCTCCTGTGCAAGAACAAGCAGCACAACAGATCTGCAGCGGAGAAGCACTAGTATGAGAGTTACATCTTGGGCCATTGAAGACAATGAGTCAAATTTTGGTCTAAATGAAAGGCGTGTATAATTCATTTTGCAACTGACTACAGCAGAGCTACCATTTGGCTTTCCGCAGAAATTGCATTATGTTATGCATAAGACATGACAGACGGAATCCTGGCCCCATCGAAGTTGATGGCAAAACTCCAACTAGTTCTAGTGGAGCCTGAATTTACCCTCACAAGTTGAATTCTGAACAGACTTTTTTGGCAAGTGATAAAAGAGGAACTTTGATATTATCTGTTATTACAGTCAGTACTTTTGGCAGTGCAGTCATGAGCATCCCTGTCAGATGTCAGCACACCTCTAGGAACAGGAACATTGATGCAACAGGCTCTCGGGGAAAACCCCTGCCCTGGGATTTGGTGATGCAGTACCCACAGGTTAAGATTGCCTCTGATTTAACAGTGGTAGGGTATGAAAAAACACTCATTGGCTTCAAATTTTTGGTGTGGTTTTTTTGAAGATGTAACTTTGACTTCACTGAGGCAGTCCCAAAGACCTCCTTTAGAAAGCTGGAAAATGGCTGTGCCCCTTGATCTAAGCTATATTAGTAGCTGAGTAATTTTTTACTCCTCATCTCTCTGGCATAGATCAGTTTTACTACTTTTCAGATACAAATGCAGTCTTTAGTAAGTAAAAATAATTGCAACCTTTTGCAAAATGGCAAGTCCAAATTAAATACCACAAGTCAGGACTATGTAGCAAGTTAGTGTCAGACATATACGATCTTGGATTCAACTGCAGCATCTGGCCAGGAAAATCTTTGGCTTGCCAAGGCCTTATCTATGAGGAGAAGGAGTACTTATGCAGATAAAAACCTGTTAATTTGTAGGCCTTTTGATATGGCTGAACAACAGGACACCTGGCTTCTGAGCAGTGGCTCCCTACCTTGCCACAGTTCTGTAAACCACAGCAATGTAATCACATTTGTCCCTCTGTACATTCAGAATACTTCTTTAATGTGACACTGGGAAAATTCTGTATTTTTTCTTCTTCCTAATGATTCATCATTTCTGTTTTACACACAGGTGCACTGAGGATGCTGTATGATGTACCACACATTTAAAAATCAAACACATTTTTTCATCATTTTGAAAAAATATTCTGGCTGTGATCTTAATTTTGTATGATTCCACAAAAAAAAAAAAACAGAAACAAAAAACAAACACCAAAAAAACCCACAACTTTGATTTTTCTGTAATATTCAATTTCATAAGTGTGTTCCAATAGTATTAATTGTTCAGGTGTTGAAATATTTTCCATTAACACACAAACACAAACTGTCTGTGAAAATGGCCATATGGCAAGACGCCTGAAATTTCATTTTATCTGGAAAGTTTTGTCTTTAGGTATTAGCTTTCTTTGGTTGGGCCTGTGACAAAGTAAAAATGTTTGGTTTCACAAGATGTACCTGAGAACTTCTCACAGAACATAGCAAAGGTTTCTTTTACAGACTTCTCATAATGACTTTTGGGGGTTTAATAGGCGTGCTTACTCTAAGGCATATGAAAGTGTGTAGACGGTGTAAAGAGGCTCCTCTCCTGCATCTTTTCCTGCCCACAGAAGAGTTGGCACAAGGCAGCTCCTTGTGCTGGAGAGAGGAGAGAGGGGAAGAGTTTTCACTGCTGCAGACACCTCCTCCTTGATTCTGAATGCACAAACAAAGCATTCCTCTGACCAAGCATCTCTCAGACACATTACAGACATTTTTCAAGTTTACAAACCGCAGCTTCCTATAAACAGCTGTCTGCTGTAATCAAAGCTAATTGGAGTGCCAATTACAGCCCAGCTACCGTAATTAGGTGACCAATTCTGATGAGTCGTCAACTCGCAGAAAACTGTGATCTGCATAAACCCCAGGGATTTCTCCATCTACAATGAGGTATTTTTTCATGAGGAACAGCAGCTCTCCTAACACCGCAGTTAACACAGAGCCAGGGAGTGTTTACATACAGTGGAGCTGACTCAGCAGCAGTGTCCTGAGAGCTTCATGCCAGTAATGCTTTCATTAAGGTCAACAGTTATCTATTTGCACACTTACACTAATTACTGTATTTCCTGACCTTCGTGGTGATAACACAGTCCAAAGTTCCGGGCTACTATCAAATTTAAAAGCAGAAGCAGAGGACTGGACTACCTGAATGTCTGACATGCCAATGTGATAACATCATGTTGTTGGTGAAGTTATTCAGAACAGAGCAGAGAGGCGCATTTGTGCAGCAATTCAGCTAGGTATGCCACAGACGAAATAGTGAACTAAACGCTGGGAATCAGTCCGAAAGCAGCTTGTGAGTGCTTCCATTCTCTCAGTCTCTGAATGTGGCTGTGGGAGTATCTGGCAGGTACATGGCAGGGAAAAGAACAGCAAGGGGAACATTACCTTTCTTACTCATCATCAGCCATTTGCTTAGGTCCTCAGCATCCTCATCACCTCCAAGTAGCTCGAGATGAAAAGCTACCTTTAATAGTGGGTGCATCATACAAAATCTGCTGAATGATTGTATTCCTTTGCCCCTTACAAAACAAGGGCAAGGCAATTTTTGTAGAGGAATTGAGATCTTTTACTAGACTGGTGAGTACACCTGAAAAAAACCCAGACTTTCCGGTGTGTGTGAAATGGAGTTTGGACTAATGGAAAAAATACTACCTTGATCTACAAGTACTCTTTTCTTTGTTCATGGGCAATCACAACAACAAAAGCTGATTTTCACAGGTGGGTAAACTGACATACAGACAATTCAGTAGCACTGTCTTCCACTGCTGCTGCTGATCGTGCATCAAAAAAATCCTTACATTTATATCCTTATCATTTAGACTGTAAGCAAATCATCACAGAAGTTACTAGAAATGAGCATGTGGGACAGCAATTCAGTATCAAAGGGGAACAGGAAATAGCACTTGTTAGCACCTTGCATCCAAGTTAATCAAAGCAGTTTGCAAACTTTCTGAAATCCAGCCTCACCACAACTCTGTCAGGCAAGGAAATGTTACTACCATTATTTCCCAGATGGGAAAGCAGTGACAGAGGCATAGGTCACAAAAAGGCACTGACAAGAGTTAACAGTACTGCTCCACTAATTGATACCCACTCCCACATTTAACCACGAATATTATTCAGATGCTGTAGCAATCTAAAAGAGCTTTTTAAACATCCACATATATATCTACAGTGATCATCTGAGCAGCAAGTGAAATAGGTTTGAACATAGCTGTTCCTCTCCTGCTGGAAGAACTTCACTAGAAAACCTTACACAGACATGGCTGAACCTTGCAGACCAGCTGGCTGCCTAATGTCCTAGTCCTGAGCCAACTTCTTCTCCCAGGACCTATTTTGTAGGGGACGAAACAGATGTACCACAGCTGGACCACCATCTCAGTTGTTCTCAAACCACTGGATTCTGAGTATGTTTATAGCAATACATCTGCAGCCATTAATTTAAATACTGTATTTCCATTAAAGCACATATTTAAATATCTGTCAAACTTATTTTCAATTATATATATTTGGCTGTACCTTTCATCCTATGCCTGTGACAGGAAGATCAGAAGACTGGGACTGTGCTTCTCAGGCTGCAAGAACCTGGCTGTATAAGAAACACGTAAGACAGCCCAGAAATCCCAGTGCTAGGCCCTTGGCAGTGCACTGAGCTTGTTACTTCTCCTGCTCATTTTTGCATGGAGGCCACCACTCACCATGATACCCTGGCATGTTTCTGAAGAGGGCCACCTCACAGGGCTGTAAGCCAGTCAAGAACTCAGATGGGGACTGGCTGTGGGCTGATATGTAATTCACATTACTGAATGCCATTCTCAGAGTGGAAACCTCTTATGGTATGACTTACTTTTTTCCCAAGGGTAAAACTCACTTTGAAACAGTTGATGCTCGCTGTATAGGTACAATGCTGCTTCCAACACAACATTTGATGGAAGAGGTAGGATTGAGAAGGTCTAGTGTTGTATAGCTGCATAATTACTATTAATAAATACTCCTTGAACTAATTCACATACTGCCTCAGAGCCCAGTGTTGGTGGGAAAATTGCTTATGGCTTCAGATAGCACAATAATTTTTGTTAATACCACAAATCAAATGTAGTTAAATTACATTCTTATGAGCATATCTGACTGCTAGGCTTGCTGCAAGCCTTTTTTCTTCCTGAAAGGCAATGAATCTCTGATGCTGACAATTTGCTTTAGAGCATCCCTTCCTTGCAAATGCAGGAAATATTTTTGAGTTACTTTTAGGGTTATGCTATTTCACATTCAAAATCCTGGCCAAATATATTTGCCTTGAGCTCTGTTTTTCTATTTCTGTAATATTATGAAAACACTAATGCAGTTAAAAGAAATAAAACCAAAGCAGGAATGCTAAATACTTACCACTTGGCTTATGTCGTATCCCCAAGGAAGGAAAAGAACTCCTGTGTTGTATTTCTCCCAGTGTGAACACATAAAGTTAAACAAGACAATGCTTAAATATATATACATTGTATATACAGAAATTCCACTCTTCCCATTGTCCCGGGAACAGACAGAAAAAAAAGAAAGCACAAAAATGGAGGTAGCCCAGCTATCCAGCCCATGGTCAAATAATTCTCCCAGAGGAGTACTAGACTGAGTCCTTCGAGCATGTTTCCCATCTATGGAATCTAGAAGGATCAGAAAAGGAAAGAAATAAAAGAGTTAGAGCACAACAAAAGGAGTAACTTCCCTCACATACACTTCACTTCTGCCATACATAACGTATGGGAAAAATACATCAAGGACAGCAAACTGAAGCACCTCTGAGGCTTCAATACCAACATGTTAGGATTGCTTCTAAATTATTTGCTTCAGTTGTCAAATAATTTTTCTGTCTGTACCTTTGCTCTTAAACTAAATGCCACCTTTGCTGAGAGCTTTAGAAAGACATTCATAATTAACTTGTCCCTAGTGGTCTTTAAACACTTTAATGTCAGCCCCTATGATCAGTTTCTCAATGAAAGCACTGAAAAGTGTCCATAGGACACCTTGCTCATCTACTGGTGTTGTGGACCCTCTGAGACTTCAGACCACTTCTGGAGTAGTATCACTAAGGCATTTAGGTTGCCTGATGCTAAATGCCTACGTGATTGTTACGTGGCATCCTCAAAGACCAAATGTCACAAAATGTATGTGTGTGTGTACCTACATAAGATGTTTTAAAGAGTCTTTTGGTTGAAATCTTAGTATACAAGAGCCAGCAGTGTGCCCAGGTGGCCAAGAAGGCTAATAGCATCCTGGCCTGTATCAGAAACAGTGTGGCCAGCAGGGTCAGGGAACTGATTGTCCCCCTGTACTCGGCGCTGGTGAGGCCGCACCTCAAATACTGTGTTCAGCGTTGGGCCCCTCACTACAAGAGAAACTTCGAGGTGCTGGAGTGGGGTCAAAGAACCACAGTGAAGCTGGTGAAGGGTCTGGAGAACAAGTCTGATGAGGAACAGCTGAGGGAACTGGGAAGAAAAGGCTCAGGTAAACCTTATCGCTCTCTGTAACTACCTGAAAGGAGGCTGTAGGTGCTGGTTTCTTCTCTGACATAACAAGCGATAGGACAAGAAGTAACAGCCTCAAGCTGTGCCAGGGGAGGCTTAGATTGCATATTAGAAAAAATTTCTTCACCAAAAGGGCAGTCAAGCACTGGAAAAGGCTGCCCAGAGCAGTGGTAGAGTCACCATCTCTGGAGGTATTTAAAAGACCCATAGATGTGGCACTTAGGAACATGGTTTAGTGGTGGCCTTGGCAGTGTTGGGTTAATATCTGTACTTCATCTTAAAGATCTTTTCCAACCTAGATGATTCTATGATTCTACAAATACCTTACCGTTAAGGTGAGTTTACATGTTGGTCACTTATACTAAAGTTCTTGAAAGATGCCCAAACACTCTACTGGACCTCACTCTAAGGATGCAGCTGGACAATACAGTTTGAGTCAATCTGAGAGTTAACTGCTGTTGAACTCTCAGCCTGCTCAGCTGGTGGAAAGACAGCAAACATTACATTTTCTTCAGGGTCACTGAACAGAACTGACACTGTGAATGGTATAAAGAAGAAGGGAGGTGGCACCAGGGAGAAGTGAATGCAGAGAGGAGGAGGAGGAGGAAGGGGGTTTAGCAGCTGTAACCTTTCTTAGTTGTATTGCCAAATCATACCCTTAATTTCTTCTCTGTGCCTCTGCCGGTGAAAAATAGAAACATTTTCTTAAAGTGAAGTGTAAATATGCAGGACAAATCTCTTAGGAAAAAGTATACAGAACAAGACTTACAGATTACTTATTGTTATCCTAAATCTCAAAATAACATGAAGAATTTTGTTTTTCTTTATAATGTTACTTGGAAGGTACTGTAGCTAATAGTTATTAGCTATTGATCATTAGTAACCCAAAACTGACCAGAGATACAGCTCAGCAGAGTGAGACCAAAGACTCCACAGCTGCTATAGATCATATGTTACTTACTTCTCCAGATTATTTGGCAGTACTCTGAGTTTTGTTTAATGTAAATATACTTCAGGGATCTAAACCAGGAAAACATGGGATTTCATTCTGTACAGGTTTTAGACCATCTCCCTGTTGAATACCTAAACAGCTGTGAGATCTCCTCCTCTCAAACACAAATCTCTTGGGACAGTTCTTACAACTCTGAAAATAAGAGATCTCACAGAGGATTTCAAACATGAATTGTTAGCATCTTACTGAAATGTGCAGAAAAGAAACCGTATAAGTTTGAGGTTATTGGAATAGTGTTGCTACAAATGTAGAAATTCTCTAGTTTGTTAAAGGATATTTCTGAAACTTAACTACCAAATAGGTATGTAAATATCCCTAAACAGTTTATGGTCTTTTATATCTCAAGAACATTTACCCAAATTGGAGACGATTTATTTATAGGCATAAAATAGTATTTTAAAAATAAGAATGATAAAAGATTTGTCTGTTCATATATTATTTTCGATTGCCCAAAAGAATATTCATACTAGATACTGCAATACATGCAGCACAGTGAAAGAGTGGTTTTCATTTTGCAGGAATATTAGTTTCACTGAAAAAGGTTAGGTTTATAATGGTGTCATAAAATACAGTGCTTATAAGTCTAATGAGCATGGAGAAAAATAAAGGAACTGTATAACACATATGTAAAATTGGATTTTCACAACCCTTTACCCACATTTTCCATGTGGTTTCACTAGCTTTTTAGGAGACTGAAAATATTTTCTGTTTAGGTTTCAGTTTGAAACCATTCACGCCAACAACGCTGTATGTTCAATAGTGAACATACCCTGTGTCACACTTCCATTGCTTTGGAATTCTTATATTACAGTTTTGTCTCATAAAGGTTTATGAATCTTCAGTTTTATTAAAGTTTATATAACTTTTAAATAGTGTAATCCAAAATACCAGCAAAGAGTTCTCCATTTTACAGACAGGAAAAAGATACAAAACCACCTTAACAAAGGCGGGAAAAAAGAGCATCATGCTAGGGAGTTTGATGAGAGTAACTGTGTCATTAAAAAGAAGTTGAGAGAGATTAAAACTGCATATTTGGTTAGTTATTATGCCCCTTTGCAGTCATCCAAAAGGAAAACTTTGGCCATGCAGAATTAAATCTGAGACTAAATATTTCCTGAAGTGGCTTGGAGAGCAGACATAAAAATCTGCACATACATCAGTTCATTATAGCTTTGACTGTCAACATCATATTCCTTGTCTTCCAAGTATTAGGAACTATAGGCCTCACTGGCAAATAATGTACATTAAGAACCTCAGAAGCTGAATTTCCAATGAGCTTTCAGTGGTGTCATACACTAACAGCTCCAATATGTAATTCCTATTTATAAAACAATAGCCACTTCATTAAATTCCATACAATTACATAAATAATTATTTTCACAAAAGAAACTGCTGCTTCTGCTAATGATTAGAGAGAGTTGCCAGGGAAATCTGACTGGTAGTCAGACTCAAGGGACTGTTGTTCCAGTGATTTTTATGGTACAAATACAAAAAAATTCTGGACAAAATAATTTTGGCACAAGCTTGCCACTTGAACAGAAATGCAAAGGCATTTACAATGCAGAGAGAGATGTCTGCACACGGGGATACTCCCAGGTTAATCAAGATAGCTCTACATGCATGGGTCTGACACCAGAAATGGCCAGCATCTTTGCACGAGATTGCAGTGTACGTCTAGAAGACATATATATCTAGCCCAAGTATCTTAACTATGGCACAAAAACATATGGCTACACACTGCAGTGCAGAGTCTTGTAAGAACCAGCTCCAAAGAAAAGGTACATTTACACAGCAGAGTGCAGCCCATGTAAATATACTACCTTGAGTCCCCCCAAAAATTACCTCTGTTGCACCACATTGTGGAGAGATTATTTTGGAATGAGAGGAAGCAAATACACCATGCTGATGTGGATCTCACTCCCACATCTGCACCAGCTCAGACCTACATCTTCACACCACTGCACAGCAAGGTGCAACGTACTTAAAAATACAGCCACATTGTGGTATAAAAAGTAAAAATGGAATCTGAGACTGAAACTGAGGTGTAGGCATTATGGGAGAAAAACAGCAACAGGAAATTAAAAAAACCAAACATCTTCATCTCCACAGGCAGCTCAGGCCCGTCACCACATTCACACCATCTCTCCTGACATACACCTTAAGCACCGAAGCACCTAACACTCTGAAACACAGCGCTACACTCATTTTCCTTTTTCTCTGCTGTAAAGGGTAACCATTATTTTCCCTGTCTTTGAAAACACCCTCCATTAATGCTTGTGTCAGGAAACTTCTCACAGTGTCATCATGGGGGGCAAAAGACTTATGAAACCAAACAGCAATGACTACTGTTACTTAATGATTTCCATTGTTCCTCTAAAATAATTTGAACTTTCAAGAGGAATAAGAGCTGCAGTCACAGAACCTCTAATATATAATTATATTAATTTATCCACGATGCCTTTTCATCTCACCATCAGCAGTAGTGCACTAGTAGATAAAACTATATGAAGATGCCAGACATGTACATTATTTCATTGTACTTTACCTAAAGCATAAGCACAAAAGGTGGTAAAAGCACTGAACAGCCACACCCAGGTGGGAACAAGTCCAGGACTGGTACCTGAAATACATCAAGCAGTGAGTCAGTGTAACGGCAGTTAACATCAAAGAAATCCACTGAGTTATGCATATGAACAACCTGCCACTGATTAGCCCACTACATCAAACAGATTGAAATAGTCAGTTTTGACCTTAAGTCACCAGTAAGCTCCATCAAAGAAGCAGTGAGCAGGCTTGAATGTGTATACACCATAAAGAACAGAAGGTAGAGGGGTTTTGGTTTTGAAATGACTCTGGTATTGCACAAAACAATGACAGTAACTAGGCAAAAGCTTTCACAGTCATGGGAAGACTATCCATCTACAAATCAGTTAATGTAATACTAAAGGGAAAAAGAAGTACTTTTCAAGCATGATCATTATTATTAGTGCCAACATGGGGTTTGCGTAGCACTTTTACTGTATAGATCTGAACAGGAATTTATGTCCTTTGGACTGGACAGATATTAGCACCTTTTTTCTTTTTCCCTTGAAAAAACAGAAGGAAGTCGAATTGGACAGAACCCAGGGTTCCCCTATTGCTCTGCTGATAGCAATAATTCAAGGTTATCATTGTTTTTTTTAAAGAAACCAATCCTTGTTCCAAAGAGCATTCTATATTACATTAAACATAATTCAGCAAGGACTGCACCAGCACTAAACAACTGTAAGCATAAAGCCCTCTCAGTTTTCTGGCATTTGGCACCAAACACAGGGAATGCTTGCACACAGAGGTGTGCCCTTGCTGGACAGGGAAACACCAGTACCTAAAGCAATGCCCTGGCCACCTTTCTCTCAATGCCTCATCTTGCCACTCTGAAAGAAAAGATAGCAAGTTCAGAGTCCTAGCTGCAAATTTGCAAACTGTAGAATGAAAACCAGCTGTCCAGGAAATGAAGTCCTTTATTTCTGATCCTAGGTATGGGATTGATATATGATACCCAAAAGGCTCATAAGGTTGCATGAATGGTTTCAATCAATTGAGAAATGATGGGCACTGTTCTCGTGTGAAATGGAGGTCTCAAACTTCGCATAGAGGTCCCAACTCTAACAGGCTTAATCACCATTTTAAATGTCTTCAAGTTCAATGTGTGTCTACTGGGAATGTGTCAGGGTAAAATTATGCCATTCAAAGATGTATGCTGGATGCTCTTTTGTTACAGAACTTAGTAAATACGAGCTACATTGATTTAAAAAATCCCCAAAATGTATAAGGATGATGCCAAATAACTACATAATATGCTGGTACTGAAAACTTAATGCTCACACAGGGTTATTTTTGAACCAAAACTGCTAACAAGTATCCCTGCCTCTACAATGGTTGTGATAAATGTACAAACAGCTCACCCCAGAGGATACCTCCTGAACCTAACCACAGGTGTAAGAAATGAAAGACAGCAAAAAAAAAAATCCCAAACATAATTGTTTCAGGAAATAAACATGTTAAATCTTCACCAAATTGTCTAGTTTAAAGGAAAGCAAAGATTTTTATATATAAATCACCTGGGAGATTCTTATTACTTTCTGTAGGCTCCAAGCTGGTCTGAGAAGCCCAGAACTGAATGCTAAGGAGCCATTTGCTCCAAAAAGCTTTTGACATGGTCTGCCATGAGGAGCACATATGGACTTGGAATTCAAAAGTCATCATTTCAAGAGGCATTTGTTTAGAAACTATTTCTTCTTTGTCTAGAAGCTGTCTCAAACAAGAGGTGGAGTAATTAAAGGGAAATGAATTTGTTCAAGCACCCATTTAGGTATTAAGAAATGGGAAACCCATTAAATTTTTATGAAGAGCATAAGGGTTGGTTTTGGCTGTGTACTTAAATCCTGGAATACACTTTAAATAAAATGAGACGTTATCATAGACTTCAAGCAGCATATGCTGAAACCCATACTTAGAGAGAAAACTAAGTAAGATTTTTCAATAAAATGATCTAAATTTATAATGCCGTGTGTGAGGTCAGATCCTCCTATATGCGCATGGAGCTTCATTAAGGGAGTGAGTAGAAGATCCAAGCATCTGATACTTCCCTGTATAATTCAGAAGTATGACATAAGCAGCTCACTAATCATACAACACAAGGATATCTACCTGAGGCAGTGTAGTCCCAGTCATAGGAAGATATTAGAAAATAATTTACTAAAATCATGACAAATCCAGAGAATGTTAACACATTGGGGGCGATCCACAAAGGCACTATCTGTTGAAAAGAAAGAAAAAAGTGTAAGAAAAATTCTATTTTGGATTGCAAGTCCTACTTTAATTAAATATTTTCTATATTATATCAAGAAAGGAGAAGCCTGTAGATGACATCAGCGGTGTTCAGATTTGTGCATATTTTCCCATTTTCAAATTAAAATACAGTTTTCATTTCTGAAATTTATTTTCAAATTAATGTTATTGCCTGATTTTTGTGGCTGCAATAAAAATCTAATTTTAAAATGTTGTACATCCTATGTTATATGTTACCCTTATTTTCCCAGCCACCAAGGAAAGCTACTTGCAGTTGTGTGTATCACAACTGCAAGAAGGCTGCAGCACCCCAGTGTGGTAATGCAGCATCCACATGGCAGGTTTCTTAAGCATTCTATTCCCACACTACAACAATGAAATTTCCTCTTCTAAAAGAAGTCAATAATTTCCAATTCAATACATCAACAAAGTCAGGCATTGAGTCCATTACACTTTTAGATTCAGAAGATCTCCCTGTTTAAAGCAGTTACCTACTTCTCTGGATAGTAACTTTCTGCAGGGTCTAACTCTTAAGTCATACATTATAAACACTCCATTAATTCATTTCACTTTGCAGAGTGCTGAAAAGGACTCTCTGACTTTGCCTAAGCCTCTAATTCTTTGCCCCATTAACTGTTCTCAGCTCTTCATTCCCTGCAGCTTTAAGGTATTCCTTACACTGCAACAGGGATCCTTTTTGATAGCACTCTTCCCAAGCAACAGTTTCTCCAGAATATTTTCAGAAACAACATATACGGCTTCCTATGTGATTTTTAGACACAACATATTTGCAGAAATACAAGTATCAAGCACTACCATCACTCAAATTCAGTATCTATATACTCAAACCATATAAATATTGGAGACTTATAATCAAGTTCTTCAGAGTGTCTAAGGCTTCAACACCATAATAAAGTACACTATAAAATATTGCAAAACAATATTAAAGAAAAAAGTTATCATTTCAGATACTAATGATAGTTTTGAAATCCAATGTCTTTAATTTCTTCGGACTAGCTAGATGGACAGACATGAATATATATTATTTTGTATACATATTTACATTTCCTCTCTCCTATTACTACATGAAAAAGTTGCATATGAATTTGAATGCTTGGACTGACTATCCTGACTAGATCCTCTTTTTCTACTATAGAACAAGTAACAATATTCAGGAAAAAATGTGCAACTGATGTTGTGCAGGGTAAACTTTCAAAACTCACATGAAAATTCCTGAATATCCTTCTTAGATGTTTTCTTTAATAACATTGGGAAAAATAAGAAATCTGATTCACTTTCCTTATGAATAGGATTTTGTCGCTAATTTTAAGATACTGTATGTCAGCTTTTATAGTATTTAAAACACATCATGGAATGCATAGAGCTACAATTAAAAAAAATCAGGTATCATTCTGAGCCTTCAAAAGCCCAATTCTAAATCCCTAAGAACAACTGACAGCAAACATTCCTTGAAGCTCCTTTAGGAGAACACCTGAGGAGGAATTCTTCACTGCACAGTCCTGTCTTCTTTCAGTGACTGCACGCCTCAGCATGCAGCAACAGCAGCACATCGCACACATCTCCTAATTTTGCTACCAGGAGATGCAGAAACCTTGTAAGATGGAGGCTTGGTATGAATTGCCTGCTGTGGAATTTTTCTGATGTCTATGACTTTACATGAAATAAGGACAGACACTCAAGGAATTATAGATCAGCCTCTTTTAAGCTGAAACCTAGATCAAAATAGTGCATTTAAGACAACCTGTGGATGAACCTTTTACATGGATATACAGATGCCATCCATTATATTGTTTTAAAATGACTGATTTCTCCTGTATGATTTATAATAACTGTTGACTATTAAATAAAGTGGAGCAACATAAGTATCTGCTTTATAATTAGGCTCATCATTCTAAATAGTCACACTGCCATTATTAAATTATTACAGGAAATAATTTATGCTTTCACAGTGCAAACATGAAGAGGGTACTGTAACCCCCTTTCTTGCTAACATCATGCATTTTAAGAAAGAAACCATCAAAGAATACTTACAATCCCTTTGGCTAGTAGACACACCATGAAAAACAGTTATGGGAGATCTATCCCCTGGAAAGCAGCCTCTCCTGCAGTTAAATCCCTGAGCACACTCTTTTGATCCTTAATGAACCTAATCTGTCTGGGTATTTGGAAGGTATCTGGAAAATATTCCAGTTGCAGAATCCCTTTTGTTACATTTAATGCCCCTTATTCTTTTGGTTGGTATTATACTGCCATCACCCTATTTCACAACTCCAAAATTACAAGGTGTTAAATACTAACTTTCACACGTTGGAAAAATACGGCCTGAATTTACTAGTATCCTACAGAACAATATCTTGCAATCTTTATTATCTAATTAACACACAGTAGAAGTCTAACACATCAATGCACCACATGATTAATACAACTGGAGATGCCTCTGGGGAAAATCACATCTGCTTTCCTGCAAAATCATGTTAAAAAACTTAAAGTTCCACAAAATGCTCATTTCTCTTTTAATGGGTCCATGGCCATTCATGCTAAAAGCCTTAACACATAGAGCACATGTTTAAATATATCAACTATTTGAATAATAAATGGTAAAGCACACATGTGTATGCAAAGCTCCATTCAAACTTGAAATATTCCTTCACTAAATCACTTGAGACCACTAAAATTCTATTAATGCCCAATTCTAGTGATAAAATCAAAGGTTATAAAGGCAAGAGAGGGGGAAGTAATTGACTTCAGTGAAGCTGGCACACACCTGCGTATCCCAGTGGGATTTCCTCCTTTTCCTCTCATTGTCCTGCATAAATGTGATTTCACATGAATACAAATAGAGGAGGAATATTCAATTTATGTAGCCAAGTAGTACTATCCGTTATGTGTCAGAGAGCACGAGTGTGCTTTATCATAAAATACAAATCTTCTAATTAAAGGCAAAACGATGGAACATTGAATTAATTAAAGACAAAATACATATAGTTGCAAAATCAGAACAGTTTTAAACAACACACAGAGAAAGTTAATTGTTACTCTGTAGTTTCCTACAGGTGTATAGTTTCATACAATGTGGAAAAGCTGCCACAGACAGGAGTATCTCAGAATACTTCAAGCCCATTATAGAATTCAGGCATTAAACATTACCTTTCACTTTCTGCTTCAGCATCAGATTCAACACATTTCTGAACCACATACATCCAAAAACCACACTGAAATTGACACAGGCACATAATACAGTGCATAAGAAAGATGTCTTTGGAAGAGAAAAGGAAGGAAGGTCATGCTCAAGATTTTCAGGAAGATTTCTAACTTAAATGCACAAATTCTTTGCTTTCCTAGGATCCCCACCACAGGTAAATGAGATGGGTTATGATAACATGTTTTCATTTCTTATTATGTCAAGATCCCAACTCATAAATTCCCATATCATATGTCAGGCTCTTCTTAATTTCTCATAACATAGGAAATACATCTTACAATGAATGATAATGTCTCATTCGTAGAAGACATACTTTCCTATGAATTCTGTTGCAGAACATAGACAAACCTGTGTTGTAAATAGGACTAAACTGACAGATGAAAGGCCAGACCTAAATCCAGAGCCTCTGTTCTCATAGATTTGTTTGTTTGTTTGTTTGCCTGGCTCTGTGAAGTTTAGGTTGGTTTAACGCCTCTAGAATGTGGTAAAAATAGTCCCTGTGGAATGTTTATTTTCACCAGATTAGAAACTAAAAGCTAACTGATTCATATGTACTCTCCCAGTTCTGATTTTTATCTCTAGGAGCAATCAAGATGACTCTACTGCAATCTCCATTACATCCTGCTTTCCCCTCTGCAGCTGTGCAGCTCCTCTGCATGACTGATTTTACCTGGCAGTATTTTTCATGTTAGAATGACTACTTCTACGAAAACTGAAAGCAATATAATTTCCCTCTAAATCCTTGTGATAGTCACTGAGAATTATCGTGCAATGCTCTGGCACCAGAAGGCAAAGCAGAATGTTCATTGCTGTATCTTCAGGGTTCAAATCAAGCCAAATAACAAAGTACAGACAGTATGCACTCCAGCCTTTGGTTCTGTACTCAGATCTCCCAGCTTTTGAAATAGGTTTTCAGTCCTGTGCTCTGGTTTAGGTTCTCCTGCAGCAAGAAGTGAACCAAATCATGTTTACCTAAAATTTAAGGTTTAAAGAAATCGAAAGAGGTAGCATTCTAATAGGATCTATCACCCTATGCTACATGGGTCAAGAATGTTGCTTTTCTTCTGGGAAAACCCTGCAATCATTTGAAGACCTTATCTCTAAAGGAAGTTTTTAGCTGATAATAGTCTCCCTTGAATCTGACAGCAGATGAATACCCATGGATCTCCTAAACCAAAGTGAAAGCACACAGTACAGCCTCTACTCACCTTCTGTGCTGGACTCCAGGATGCTGAGCGGGGTGTGGGGTGGGGTATGCTTTTCTGCTTCATTGTTATCCTCAATATTATGATTGGAATGAAAACAGGGTCTTTTAGCTGAATTGCTGAATTCAGTTTCTCATCTTTCAATAGCTTTTTTCTCATACCTTGTGTGGGTTTTTTTTTAATTCTTAAGTTAGGTCATACAAACACTTCCATGAAATTAAGGTTGAGGTCATGAGCAAGAGATTGATTTTCCTGCTATATCAAGCATAAACAATACCTGAATTATAGAACCCAAGGACGGCAGATCCAACAGCACTCTGACCACATACATCCTTTTTGTTTGTATATAGGCTTGTTTTCAAGTCTGCTGCACTTTAAAGATCTCCCCTAAGAAGGCAGATGCAGAAATCATTGCTTCCTTGGAGATCAATAAGTTCATATTTATTTCAGATAACGTTGTTGTTTTAGGGTTTTTTTTTGCCAACAATATCAAAACTTATTGTGAGCCAGTTTATTTTTAAAAACTGCCTATGATAATGCATTCAAGAGATGCCATCTTCCAATCGTTATGGTGATCATGGTAACCGCTCTCCTTCTCAGCTTCTTAGAGAAATGCCTAGCTCCCCTGAGCAAGTACCCTTGGGAGAAAATGAGACAGTACTTGCATAAAATCATGTGCACAACACAGAGAGAAAGCCAGGCTGTTGTTAGGTAGCATATGCTGCACAAAAATAATTTGTACTCAGTAAACGCATCAGTGTCTGCAAAGCTGTTTAATGAAAGATGTAATAATGAAAGATGCAAAAAAGAAACAGATTCCTTTTATATAGTGATCAGAAAAAAAATAACAAACCTTATTTTTGAAATAAAAAACCCACCTCAAAATCCAGACATACTCAAATACAGCTATATATCCCAAAACATGTTTCTTATATACAGATATCTTCATTTCAGCTTTACTGATCACTTTGCATTTTTAAATGAAAATACATGCCATATTTAAAAAATAATAAATAAAATCTTACATCATCATGTGATATTTCTATTAAAACAAAATTCTTACCTTAATAATATTGTTCCAGATGGGCTGCATAATATACACAGATAAAGGATTTGTATCCACAGCATTGTACTGTGAGGAAAAAAGCAAACATGTCAAACAAAGCACTGAACAACACGTATTTTCCCATCACTTTAGATCTTTCAGCATCTAAGAACAATCCCTCTGAGTGTGAGTGGTGTCAATTTATTTTACTCTGTTGACTATTCATACAGCTTTAATTTAATTTAAAAGCACTGGCCTGATTTACAATTATCTTGATAGCAACTGCATGTACTAACACAAAAGTTTAGGCTTGTGAAATGGCAAACATTTCTGTAGTCACATTTTACTTTTAAATTCTTAATCATTTTAAAAGTTATCCTATAAGACTCTGCATTTCCACCATATTTTGGATTTAATTTCTTTATTTGCACTATTAGTAATGCATAGTCTGAGCAGCAGTTCAGTGCTAGTGCTTGGAATATATAGTGCATATAGAATATGGTCTTAAGTGGAATATTTTCTCAGGGAGATACATAGCTTCTGACATAGTAACACAGTTGCATTTGCCTTATGGTAATTAATGTAAGGTGATGTTATGATAAAAATAAGCTCTAAATTAGCATAGTTCATTACCACAGTAAAATTTACCTATTGGAGTGACATGCAAAACATCACATGTATTTATAAATTCCAATGAGTACGTCTGTTTATTTTGCAGAAAGTATTTCAGAAATCCAAGCCCGCCCCAAATTGCTGTTGTCTACTTTCTCCTCAGATGATAGTATCAAGTTTTATCATGCCTTAAGATTGCAGAACACGGAACAATCTGATAATACCACTCAAAACTATGTTCTTAAGTCCACAGTGGAAGAAATTAGTCATCACTGGGGTAGTATATGTAATTATTTTAGAAAGACTTTGAAAGTGCATGTATGGCTTATGTTGTTATATACATATGACTCACATAAAGATTCAGATATATCTATACAGCACTGTCCAATCATCACCCGTGGACAATGGGAAGAAGATAGAGGTGTGCTAAACCACAACTTGTCAAAGCTGTTCACATGGAGAAGAGCTGATGACAGAAAGGCTTTCATGTCACCTAACCAGCTAACAGCTAATTGTTCTTTCTCTAGTTAATTTATCAGTCTCTCTTAGTCAATTACCCTCTGGATGAGATTGCACTCTGGAAGTACTTGTTTCAAGTCACTAGTTCTCAAAAGAGCTTAGACACTTGTCTTAAACTTAGGCATCTTTTAGATGACTAAAGTCTGGCAAGATTAACCTGTTTCAGTATCCCCATCTCCAAGCTTTTACACACACACACACACACACACACACACACACACACACACACACACATAAACACACACTTAACCTGCACACATCTGAGCTAAGAGCTTTCAGTGGACAAGTGCAAGCGGGACAAAAGATGAATGCAGCATGCTTCAGGTTTCGAATGCACAATCTATGACTTTTCATGTAATCTTTCTGAGGATATCAGGCTATGGAGTGCTTAAGAACTCTTCCACACGTTTCTTTTTTCCAGTTGTACACAAAGGATACATTTTAATTACTTTCTGGGCAAAACAAACCATTTCCATAGTTGTTCTGTAATTTGTGGTTAAGTTTTAATCACAGATAATAAATGTATTATGTTTATAAAATTAATATTACACAGTTACATGTTGTGCCTACCTATCAGTCACTGGTCAGACTACGCAGACTAACTTTCCCCATGGAATAAAAAGTACAGTTTAGTGAAATGTACATCACCTTTTGTTTTTTCTAAAACTACTGGAAGTGTCACTTAGGTGTGTCATTTTTATCTGCTTCTGCCACCCATATTATTTAAAACATGCCACAATTCTGCCACTGATGGGTTTTCTGCCAGAATACATACATATATTGCCTCAGTAAAAATGAGTTTCTGGTAAAACTAAAGTTTTCAGTATTCTATATTTCTTTGCAGCTCCAGATGCTGTATTTTATATTGTACCTTTCAGACACTGATTATTACAAATGATTGATCTTTTGAGGGTCCAGCTTGTATGCAAATTATCCCAGTCTGAACCATTCACGGTCTTTGATTATATTTATGCCAAAACAAACAAGAATACCAAGCCATACAATACCTATGCCAATAGAACAGTCATCTAGTATTGAATTCACATAAAAAGTATGGAAATCCTCTGAAAATGAAGAAAATTCAAAGCATCCACTAGCACTGTTGAGGTTCCCAGTAACCAGGAATCTATCCAAAGTTTCACTGTAGCTGTTAAGCATTTCCCTACCGCAAGTGGTATTCAAAGACGCTGTGAGGTACATAATAATTTGCTGACCAGCAAATTGAATGAATTCAGCCATACCTGGATAAGGATGCACAAAGGTCAAAATATGTGACCTTCAATCCTCCTCCTGCTTTGGCTTTCTCCTTTTCCCCTCCATGCCAAGCCTCCAAAATCATGAATAAAATCACAAAGTCCTAGTTAAATAACAACAGCAAAATGAGGCTTTCTACCCAAAATACTCACTGGTTGTCCAGTACTATTACTTGCTTCCAGAAATTAAAAAAAAAAAAAAAAAGAAAAAAGTAAAACAATTTAATTTCTTTAAAATTATTTTCTTAAGTAGGAAATATAAGAGATTATATGGAGATTATTTAATTTTTATATTTTCTTAAACGGAAACTGCAAGAGATTATGTGGCTTTCCAACATATCTCTGTATGTGACATGAACTAAGAGCCAGCTTTTTGTTTGCTTGATCACTTCCAACATCAAGCACCAAAAAACAGTTGTTATTAGAAAAAAAAGTAGAATTACAGCCAGCTTCTGTCATCTAAAGACATTTCAAGACCCATCATATTTCATCCTGTTCATTCCTATGTTTGTGGCTGAGCCGTGGCCCTCTGGGCAAGGAAGGAATATTCAGCAAACTTGCAGGAGAATGGAAATTTGCTCTTCCCTCATCAGTAATCTTTTGTAGCCAAACCAAAGGAAAAACCCATGGAAAAAGCATTCTGCTAGCTCTCTGCCACGGCAAAAATAAAACTTTAGAAATAGAATCTGCTATACAGTTTAACACCCTGCTTTGCTCTGCTCCCAAGAAGCTGCTAACCTCAAGGCCAAGAAATCCTGGGGAGTTTAATGTCCATGGCTGCTCAGAAAATCAAATTACTGAGTAAAATGTTCACATTACAATCAATGGAGATGAATGTAAGAGTGCACTGAACCTGACATTAAAGAAGTACTGCCATTTCCTGTTGCGTAATTCTGTCCTTTTCAGGACTCTTACAAAGTGAAGGATAAGCACGTTGGAAGTTCTTATGTTCAAAAATGATACAAGTGTTAAGTACTCCCCAGCAGACACTTTCTCCACTAGAAAAGGGATCTTCATTGTCCTTATACAAAGAAGAATGACTTGAATTAAGCAGAGAGCTTCTGTGTAAATACCTTTTTTAAGAATTTGTAATACTTGGGAGGGAGGAGTGAAGGAATAGGAAAAATGGCATTAAACAACCCCATCTTACTCCCAAGTCTGAAAATGCTTCTGCTGTTTGTTTTGGTTGGGTGTTTTTTAATAGCTGATAACTTGTTGAAAGCCATCTGCTTTCCCTCTCTACATTACTAGTATCTTCTAGCAGAGCTAGAAATAAGAATACAGACACCAGATACATGTGCACAATACACATTGATTCAGGCAGCACACTTAAGATGTGCTTTTACTCTGTGTTCTTGCATCTTAATCTCCATCCAGAGAATCCAGCACAGCACCAAGTCTGTACTGGTCAGCTGCCTTAGAGGGAAGAGGATAGAGGATTAAGGTGAAGAGGGGGAAAGGGGTATGAACAGTAAGAAAAGTAAGAGAAAGGAAATACAAGTAATTGAGAAAAAGAAGAGAAAGAAAAATGACCCAAAACAAAGGTCAGAAGACCTACAACTGTTCTGGAATGGCAGGGCAGAGGCCAGCCCACCTGTGGGTCAAAAGCACCCCCATTGACCAAGGTCTGCACTGCTAAATACAAGATGAATGGTAACCTTCTGGCTCACACCCACACAGCTTAGAAATACCTCCCCTTTTTGTAAACTGGTCACATCCACACCTCACAGTATCTGATGGAGGGCATTTGGGCCTCATTATCTGGCCCTGCACACCTGAGACAGTATTAGCAGTGGGTACCTTTCAGTTCAAAGTGTCTGAACCGATCTAGAGACTACACAATGGCAGTCACAAGGCATGCAAGTGAGCATTTTGCATGTTCAAAACTCCAAACACCCATGCTGGGAGAGAGCTGAAGGATGGAAAGCGCCAAAAAATGGTGTGTACTGCCTCCAGAATGGGCCATTTCCAAAACAAAGCCTACTATTGTCTTGGAGAGACCTTCTAGAACTGAGAAAAACAGGGAGTGAGCTAACCATTAATCAAAGCAGCCAGCTGGATGGATCTCCACTGGGGTTCCTGGCCCTCTCCAGCCTTGCACTGTAGAGGTATCACAATAACATATTGGAATGACTATCATGAAGAGGAGGATACAAAGCATGCCTGCACAAACTTCAGTCAGCAGAGAAAACAAGTTGCAAGAAATGTAGTTGCCTTAACTGCTGGGAAATAGTTCATTCAACTCAGGCTGCTCCTTACACTAACAGACTATTCCTTCCTTGTACTTAAATTATCTTGTTTCAGGTAGCACCATACTGTGGCATACAGTATACATTCAGAGATACAGAGTAAAACTGTTGTACATCATTTGAATTTGAATTGTTGGCATCCAGATGACTTTGTATGTTTTAATTCTGTATTAGTAGCAACAAATTTGCAGCACTTCACATTTCTGCCCCAAAATCAGCAGATTTTCATTGAATTCATGAGCCAGCACATGATTTATTATCTCCATTGTATAGGCTGGAAAACTGAGGCACAGAAGGGCTGTGATTCACCCTGAGTATATAGCAAAGGAGACAGCCCGTTATTGCTAAAGGTGTCACCTTTATACAGATAATTTAAGTATAAGCATTACCAGTTTATTCAAAGAAAATCTGCCCATATTGGCTCAACTTCATAATTGAGTTCACTTTTACAAGA